GATAGAAAGCACTAAGGCCACAGAGACCTCCCGTGGCAAAGCACAGCCACGGTGGGGGGCCAAGCAGAATGAATCTAGTGCGCTTTGCTGTCCCTCAGTTCCAGACCCTTCCTGGAGTCCCAGCACCTAGAAGATCATGCTTACCAGGGTTGGGGAGGCAGGTGGAGGACACAGACAAGCCTCAGAGAATCTGCCGGGGAGGAGAGCAAGGCCTTGAGCCCCAGCCGACACCAGGTCCCAGGGCCCCCTAGCTGCTGGTTTCAGCGTGCATGCAGTGACCTGGACTTGGAACAAGCTGGAGAGCCCCGGACACCATGCCCTCTCTCCAGGGTACAGGGGAGGAGGGCGGGAGGAAGGAGACGGTGCAGCTGAGGCGAGCATTGCCTCGAGGCACTGTTTACATTGTCGTCTGCTTCCAGGGTTCTCTTCCTGCTACTGGAGACAAAATAAAGATTCCAGGTAGTTCTGGGTTTCCAAAGTCTGGTGTAATGGTATGACTTGGTAGAGTACTAATGACATTGTTATTTGAGTGGAAACTGTGCTCTGTGGAGCCCTTCTTCTCTTGGGATCCCCACCACCACCACACACACACACACACACAGGGCAGTCCCAGCAAACAAACCATCACCACTCACGGGTGATCGATCCAGGGTAACCTCTGGCACAAGCCAGGTCCATCTCCATCCACCATGGGATTGGACTTGCTGCGTGCTGACACAGGCTCCTGGCGATTTCGAGAGCAGTGACTCCTGGAGTCTGACAGCAACTCCCTGTCCCAAGTCCTCGGTGCAAATGAAGTTTATATAGCACGCCTGGAAAATGTCTATGTTTTTATTTTTTAAAAAATATTTTAAAAAATATAAAATATTGTATATATTTATACTTCATGAAGGACTATTTTCTTTAAAAAAAAAAGATTTATTTGAAAGATAGATTTACAGAGAGAGAGAGAGAGAGAATCTTCCATCTGGCAGTTCACTCCCCAAGTGGCCAGGGTTGGGCCAGGCTGAAACCAGGAGCCCGGAACACCATCTGGTCTCCCACATGGGTGGCAGGGGTCCAAGCAGAGAGGCCATGTTCCACTACCTTCCCAGGTGAGTTAGCAGGGAGCTAGATAGGAGGCGGAGCAGCTGGGACTTGAACCGGCTCTCCTATGGGACGCTGACATTGCACGCGGCTGCTTAACCCGCTGCGCCACAACACAGCCCCTATTTTCTACTCATCTACTGAATGGTCAGTTTAGGTTACTAAATTTAGAATATGCAGGCCAAGAGGATCGTCATCAAAGTGCGCTGGGAACGCTAATCCGAAGCTCTGCTAAGGAGGCTGACCGCTGAGACACAGAGCTCAGCCCACAGGCACTCAGCGAGCCGGGGCTCCTGCAGCCGGCCTAATGGCCCTGGGAGCTCAGTGCTTCCTCACTGAGCCTTCAATTGAATGTGGGTTTTGAGAGCTTAATTACAGTGGTCATTGATTGATTATAAATTTCTGTAAACTTGGCTTCAGAGTTAATTTAGCTTTATAATTGTCAGTTCAGTTTGTTATGGCTGTTGTGTGTAGTGATCTTTTGGGCCAACACTTTTTCGGTAATTACACTTTAAAACTATGCATTATAAAGGCCGGGGTTGTGGCGCAGTGGGTTAAGCCTCAGACTTGGACACTGGTATCCCATGTAAGTGCTGATCTGAGTCCCAGCTGCTCCACTTCTCATCAGGCTCCCTGCTAACACACCTGGGAAGGAGTGCCGGACCGTGGCAGCCATCTGGGGAGTGAACCAGTGGATGGAAGACCTCTCAGGGCCTCTCCCTCTGTCTGTAACTCTGCCTTTCAAATAAATCAATAAATCTTTATATTAGTTCAAACAAGGATCATCACACCCCTATCCATGCCTATGTGTGCATGTTCCCCCTTTCAATTTTTTTTTTTTTTTTGGACAGGCAGAGTGGACAGTGAGAGAGAGAGAGACAGAGAGAGAGAGAGAGAGAGAGAGAGAGGAAGGTCTTCCTTTTTCCGTTGGTTCACCCCCCAATGGCCACTGCAGCCTGCATGCTGCGCCGGCGCACTGCGCTGATCCAAAGCCAGGAGCCAGGTATTTCTCCTGGTCTCCCATGCGGGTGCAGGGCCCAAGCACTTGGGCCATCCTCCACTGCACTGCCGGGCCACAGCAGAGAGCTGGACTGGAAGAGGAGCAACCAGGACAGAATTGGCGCCCCGAATGGGACTAGAACCTGGTGTGCCGGCGCCGCAGGCAGAGGATTAGCCTATTGAGCCGCGGCGCTGGCCCCCGTTTCAATTTTATTAATACAGTGATAACTCATGCCACATGGACCTTTGTTGTTGTTGAGCCCCTGGAGGTTGGGAATGACTGAGAGGTGTCAGGGTTTTTGCCCTTCGCCAGTGGGTCCCAGTGAAACATTTGTCCATCCCGGAGGAAGCACCCACAGATAGCTGATCCCAGCCTGAGAGCTGCCCCAGATCCTCACCCTTTCAGACACCCCATTAGTCAGCTCTGTTTTCATTCCATGTGTTTGTTGAGTAAATTCCCCCTTTTGGCCTAAACTAGCTCGACTTGGTTTTGACTACTTGTATCAAAAGACCCTTAACTAATGAAGTCCTTGCATTTTAGATCAGGACAAAGAGATTCACGCATTCCGGCTTCCCCCTCCCTCTGCTTTCTCAGGAAAATTCTCTACTCTTCAGTGTTGGGATTAGGGGCTGAGTGGAACAAAGAAGGTAAAAGCTGACCAGGCTTCTGCTGCAAAATGTGTGGTACTGATGTAGGCAGGCATAGAGAATGAAATTGATTAGATTTGTGAGCTGGGAGACCACGCCTTCACCACGCCCCTACCTGACCACACCCGCCAATCAGACTAATTAACCACTCCCCTTTGGAAGTGGATGAAAGGCCTGAAACACGGTGGGCCTGCCCCTATTTTGCCCTTTTTCCCCCCCTTTGCCCTTCTTCTTCCTTGCTGCCCTGAATCTTCTTGCTGCCCTGAGCCTTCGGGCCACCTGCCCCATGCTTCCCGGCCTGCACGCTCCTCCCCGTGGCTGCTCCTGGTGCTTGGTATGAATGCAGATTTCCCTTTCTCTCTTAGATAGGGCCCTCGTTCCCCTATGCATTTCTCTCACTGAATAAAAAGCTTAAAAACTTATCATGCTGCCTGGCTTATTTGTACCAGTATTCAGAATTCTTCTCTGGATTCATGGCAAGAACCAATAAGGCTTACTAATATTTCAGATTATTAATGATCAAATCGGTAACATAATCAAGGAAAAGGAGAGAGACTCAGATGGGAAGAGCAGCTGAGAGAACTGCAGAGGAAGGAGCCTTGTGGGTCGAGGGTTCTGGAAGGAGCAGGAGAGCCCTGTGAGTGACAGGTGCCATCCTAGGCGGGGAGCTCCCTGAGTCAAGAGGCTCTCGAGGGAGTTTTCTTGTATGCAGAGCGGCCAGCAGGGCTCAGGTTTGAGCCTGGTCAATCCTCCTCAGTGTGCACAGGTTTTTCTTAAAAATGGGTGCAATGATTACAGCCCTGTCACTAGGTCACCGCTAAGTTACAATCACAGCTTGGTTCCAGTCCCCTGAGATTCCTCCCCGAACACCGAGAGCGGAGTTGTTCAGTCGCATGCAGAGGACAAGCTCTTAGTTTATATCTACAGATGTTCACCCACAGCCCTTGAGAACTGTTTATGTTTGTTTACTGGGGGGGGGGGGGGGGGGCAGCCTCATTTCCAAGTTCTCAGAGGGCTGCTCACTTGTGCTCAGCTGACATGGTCACCCAGAATTAACTGGGGGACTCTTATAGTTTTGTTTGTTTGTTTTTGACAGGCAGAGTGGACAGTGAGAGAGAGAGACAGAGAGAAAGGTCTTCCTTTGCCGTTGGTTCATCCTCCAATGGCGGCCGCAGCTGGCGCACTGAGGCCGGCGCACCATGCTGATCCGAAGCCAGGAGCTTCTCCTGGTCTCCCATGCGGGTGCAGAGCCCAAGCACTTGAGCCATCCTCCACTGCACTCCCGGGCCACAGCAGAGAGCTGGCCTGGAAAAGGGGCAACCGGGGCAACCGGGACAGAATCCGGCGCCCCGGCCGGGACTAGAACCCAGTGTGCCGGCGCTGCAGGCGGATGATTAGCCTAGTGAGCCGCGGCGCCGGCCGACTCTTACAGTTTCTTAAGCCCCAGCTGCAACCTACCAGACGTGAATTTCCCAGTGTCAGCCATTTAGCAGGCAGTCAGGGGCCTTCCTTGGTGACAACGACAGATTCTCCAGATTTTAAAACACAGCTGAAGTATGATATATTCTTCAAGAACATTTCAATGCTGATGGCCTCATATAGCCTACCTCTAAATGTGGGCGTGTTGGGTGCATTAACAAATAAATGCTTGCTTGTTTGACTAAACAGACTTGGTTAATAAACATTCCTTGTCTAACAAGTATTTGTTTACTGCATTGCCTAGAGAAATATAGGCCCTTGTGAAAGTGAAGTTTTTTCAGAAGTAACATATAAACAAATACTTATATAGGTTCCTATGTGATGTAAAATCAGCATTCTAAGTTGCAGATGACAGAATCTATGCTAGCTGGTTTAAGCAGAAAATCAAGTCATTAAAGAATATTAGATGAGTCAGAGTCTCGAGTAAAGCCAGAGAATGGGTTCAGAGGCTACACCATTAGCAGCAATGGCCCAGTGGCTTAAGCCACCACCTGTGACACCAGCATCCCATATGAGCACAGATTCAAGGCCCCACTGCTTCACTTCTGATCCAGCTCCCAGCTAATGCACCTGGGAAAGCACCAGAAGATGGCCCAAGTGCTTGGGCCCTTTGCACCCACATGGGAGACCCCAGTGGAGTTCCAGGCTCCTGGCTTCAACCTGGCGTGGCCCCAGCCACTGGGGGCCATTTGGGGAATTAACCAGAGGATGGAAGCTCTCTCTCTCTCCCCTCCCTGTAACTATGCCTTTCAAATAAATCTTAAAAAGAAGTCCCACCACTGCTTTCCCTGGAAAACCAAAAGCTCCACTCATCAAAAGGTAGATTCTGATTTCTACCACCATTCACTTTTTTAAAATCAATTTATTTATTTGAAAGTCAGAGTTACACAGAGAGAGGAGAGGCAGAGAGAAAGAGAGAGAGAGAGGTCTTCCATCCGCTGGTTCACTCCCCAATTGGCTGCAACAGCCGGAGCTGTGCCGATCAGAAGCCAGCAGTCAGGAGCTTTCTCTGGGTATCCCACAAGGGTGCAGGGCCCAAGCACTTGGGCCATCCTCCACTGCTTTCCCAGGCCACAGCAGAGAGCTGGATCAGAAGTGGAGCAGCCACGTCTCGAACCGGCGCCCATATGGGATGCCGGTGCTTCAGGCTAGGGTGTTATCCCGCTGCACCACAGCATTGGCCACCCCATTATTCACTTTTGAGTCAGAGCCTCATTTGGTCCAGTGTTCGGAGCTTCATATGTCTGAACATAATCTGCACGAGAGTAGGGGAGTAGGGCCTGTGCTAGGAACTGAATGGCTGTATCCGCCCCAGGTTCATTCACACGTTGAAGCTTAGATCCTCCATGTGATGGTGTTCAGAAGTGAGGCACTGAGGAGTTAATTAGGTCCTAAGGGTGGAGACCTCATTATTGGGGTGAGCAACCTTATAAAAAGAGGACACAGAAATCTATCCATGCATTATCGATCTTTTTATCTATCTATCTATCTATCGTCTATCTACCTACCTATCTACCTATCTATCTTGTCTATCATCTATCTGTCTCTCCCACTCCCCTTCTGCTCTCTCTTTATCTTTCCTCCTGCCTGCCTTGAAGACACAGTGAGATGACAGCCACCTGCACACCAGGCCACTCTCACTGGACACCGATCTGCAGGTGCCGTGGTCTTGGGCTCCACAGGCTCTGGAACGGTGAGAAATGAATGTCTGCTGGTAAATCCCCCAGTCTATGTTCTTCCGTGCTGAGACAGCCCAGCACAGGTGGCGGACTCTGAGCAGGACTAAGGGCATTTGCATATGGAGGTGACCAGGAGCAGGGTGTTGGGGCTGTAGAGGAGGGAGAAGGATGTTCACAAGGGGCTGGGGACATCAGAGTGTGAAAGGGTAGGACAGTTTTGGTGTAGGAGTGAGGAGTTGCAGAGCCTGGCCATGGTGAAGCGCCCATCCCACAGAGGGCAGCTGCAGCAGGTTTCAAGTCAGAAAGCCTGACGGGGGCGCAGCAATGGGAGATGGCAACAAACAAGGAAATGGATCAAGCAAGTAAGTCACTATTCAGAATAACGTGCTAGCTTCTCGCTGCTGGAGACAGGAGTTACAAATAGGAAAAGGGGCAGACGGAAATGAACACTGTGCTTTGAGACTGGAATTGGAGGTGCTGGTGTGCATCTGTGGTTTTCAAAATAAGACAGTTGATAGAGAAGCAGCAGCTGTGTCTTAAATGCGTGAGCACACACCTGTGTGCATGTGAGCATGGACCTGTTTTCTCCACTCTGCCCCCTGAGAAAGCAGCAAGGCCTCACCTGCAGCACACACACAGGACAGTCTAAATTCCATTCTCAAGTAAAAACGAATAGGACTCCTTAGAGAGCGGGCTAATTTCATGATGCCTTAGGCGTTCAGGCCATCTTGACAAAATACCACAGACTGGGTGGCTTCAACGGCATCAATTTACTTGCTCCCAGTTCTGGAGGCTACAAGCCCAAGATCAAGGTGTTGGCTGATTCAGTGGCTCTCTTCTTGGCTGCAGACAGCTGCCTTCTCACTGTCCTGAGAGAGAGAGAGAGAGAGAGAGAGAGAGCATTTAAATTTAATTATCTCCTTACAAGTCCTATCTCCAAATATAGGCTCCATGAGGGTTAAGACTTCAACATACAAATTTTGGGGGACACAGGTCAGTCCATAGCATAAGACTGGGGAAGGCAATGTACAAGATAAGCCTAGGACAACTTATTTTTGCAAAAAGTAAGAAAGTGCTCAAAGAATGATGTAGATGTACCCTCCCCCCAATAAAAGACATAAAACCTAGTTTGAAAAGGATCACATCCTGGGGGTTAACTAGGAAAAACTGCTGTAGTATCAGTTGCCACTGTTAGGTAACTCACAGCATCTCTGGGAGAACCAGAAATTCCATCTCCAAAGGTGTGTGCCTGGGAGCAGCCCCTGCCTTCCTCCCCCACCTGCCCTCCTCTTCACTTCACAACCAAACGTTCTGCAAACACTTCCACGCTGGCCTCCTACCTTCCTTTCCCGTGACTCTCGGTCCCCACGTTCTACTGACACTGACCTTCGCCACGATCACGTTTGCCCTCCTAGCTGTCAACTGCATGGACTCTTCCATTGCCACCCCCGAAGTCTCTGCAGCTCTGAGACCATTGCTCTTGTCCTTCCCAACACCCCGTCCTCACTTGGCTCCCTTAGCCCACGGCCCATGCCCTCACTCCTCCTCCTGCCTCTCTGGCCGGCACTACTTACTCCCCTCTGTGGGGAGCAACTCGGACTAGACTAAGTTACTGGAATTAAGACTTATTCTATGCATCTGCTCTCCCACAATATGGCGCTGGGAGAGGAGTAAACAGCTTCTACACAGCTGCCTCCAGTTCAACCACTAAACTGTAGGACCTGCTCCTGATTGGAGGAGAGCAGCGTACTCGGCGTGTGGGTAGCAGAGTTGGGATTGGTGGAAGAGGACTATAAAGGAGGAGAGAGACAACATGCACCAGGAACATCTAAGGGGAACATCTGAGCAGCCCCCAAGAGAGCCGGCCGGCAGTGTGCCGCTCCCCCGCGGAAGTGGGGAAAGTGGCAGGGGGAGCCGCCCTTCCACGGAGGTGGAAGGGTCGGTAGCCAACCCGGGAAGAACCAGCAGCAAACCCGGGAAGGGCCGAGCAGACAAAAGAACAGTGCAGGGTCCTGTGTCGTTCCTCTGCGAAGAGGGGGAGCGACACCCCTCCATGGGTTTGTCTTCCTCACCCAGCTCATACAGGCTGCTGCTGCACCCAGACTCGTTCTGTCACTCTCCTCTCCTGTCAGGGTGCACATCTTCCTAGGCCACACCCTTCCTTGCTGGGCATCCAGTTCATTGGCTTCAGCTCCAACTCACACACTGTTGGCTCCTAAGTCTACATCTCCAGCTCAGATCGTCCTGAGTTTCTGACCCATATCCAGTGTCCAGTTGTCACCTGACACTGCCACCAAGATTGCCTCCAAACATACTGTTTGGTTACAAATGACAGAAGATCTAAAAGGGGGCTTTTGACAGAGATTGATCTTCTATCCGCTGGTTCACTCTCCAAGTGCCTACAACAGCCAAGGCTGGACCAGGCCAAAGCCAGGAGCCAGGAACTCAATCCGGGTCTCCTAGATGTGTGTCAGAGACACAACTCCCAGGGTGCACGTTAGCACAAAGCTGGAACCAGGAGTGGAGTCAGAACTCGGAGCAGGACTCTCTGATCTGGGATGCGGGCTTCCCATGTGCTGTCTGTAACCACTGCGCCAAATGCGCACCCCTCCCAGTGCATGAAATGGAAAGCAATTCGCTGGAGGCACCATAGGTGGTTTGGAAGCATCCAGAGTCTGGTCCAGGAGCTCAAAGGATGTCACTAGGACTCAGATCTCTCTCTCTCTCTCTCTCTCTCTCTCTCTGTAACTCTGACTTTCAAGTAAATAAATAGAAAGAAAGAAAGAAAGAAAGAAAGAAAGAAAGAAAGAAAGAAAGAAAGAAAAAGAAAGAAAGAAAGAAAAGAAAAGAAAAGAAAAGAAAAGAAAAGAAAAGAAAAGAAAAGAAAAGAAAAGAAAAGAAAAGAAAAGAAAAGAAAAGAAAGAAATTCTTAGGTTCATTCTGTCCTGGCAATCTCAGGTCACCCACCCAACCTTGAGTCCATCACTCACAGGGAACTATAAAGCTCCGATTTAAGCCAAAGTCATTTGTAACAAAATGGGTGAGGGAGGAACTCCTAAATACAAGTAGATTTGCCAGAAGGAATGGAAGACACTCAGAAAGCAAGCATAGGCGTGCACTGCAGGTCCAGGGCTGGGCCCTCACTCAGAAACCGGAAGTCCTTTTTGTCTCGTGCTCACCCTCGGCCCCACTGCTGCTCTCTCGTGCAACAGCTCTCCCTCCTCCTGCCTCCCGCCACTGCCACTGCGACGGTTTTACTTTAGACCGCCGCTGTCACCTGGATAACTACAAGCCATGCCTTGACGCTCCAGCTGCAACAGGTGCAGAGCAGGTGCCACCCATCAGACCCGTCCCTCCCTTCATGGCCCCCCCAAAGTTGTGCAAGGAAGAAAGAAAACGAACAGGTAAATAGAGACAGAAATTGCGCCCCGTGGTAAGTGCCGTGAAGGACAGCCAGAGGTTCTTGAAAGAGGGCAGTGGGGTACCCACCCAGAAGAGGTGGTCAGAGAGCTCTCTCCGTCGAAGGAGGCCCCTCCACAGAGGCCTGGGGCACAGGCTGTCATGTAAAGGAGACAGAGGCAAAGGGCAGCACAGGGTCCACGGAAAAGATGCAGCCCACGCCAAGGCCTCCAGCTGTGTTGAGCAACCAACAGGAACAAGGGCGACCAAAGCTTAGAGGCAGGTGGAGGAAAATGCAGACGAGGCCAGAGAGTGAAATAGGAAGAAAATTACGGGCATGGTGAGGAGTCTGCCTCTTGGATTTTTTTCAAAGTAAAATGAAAAGCCATTGAAGGATTATTTTTAATAGCTTTATTGAGGAATAATTGGCATATAATTCAGTGTACATATTTACAGTACACAATTTCATAACTTTTTCATATGCATATACCCATCAAAGTATTGAATAGAGGAATTACCTGTCACCCCCAGAGTTTTCCTCGTGCCACTCCGCGATTTCTCCTTTCTGTCTCTCCCCCACTCTCCCTTCCACAGCCCCTCCCCAACTACTGCTCTGCCCTCTTGCAGCTGGGAAGTAGTTTGCTTTCTCTACAGCTGTGTACGCCTGGCACGAGATGGGATGTATTCCCTCGTTGCCGGGTTTCCTTCACTCGGCATAATCATTCTGAAACTCGTGCATGTCCTACTATTGCTATTTTATTCCTTTTCATTTCTGAGTGTTGTTCCATTGTGTGGCTATATCACACATCTAGGCTGTTCCCAGCTTGGGGTTATATAACAAAATTGAACTTTCGTATACACATATTTGCACAGACACACACTTTTTCTTCTATTGAATAAAAACCTAGGAGTGGAATGGCTGGGTCGTGTGCTCTGTGTAGGTTTACTTCCTAAGAAACTCAAACTTCTTTTCTAGAATTGTTGTACATTTAGCGTTCCCATCAGTAGTTAATAAGTCCTAGTTCTTCCATGTCTTTGCCAACACATCGTATGGCAGTCTTTTTAATTATAGTCATTCTCTTGAGCAAGTAACGGTATCTTGTTGTGGTTTTAACTAAATTTTCCTAATGGCCATTGGTGTTGCTTTTACTGTTCCACAAACAAGGTTTTTCTTTAGGCCTCCTTTAACGTCTCACAACAACGTTTTTGCAATTTCCGTTGTCCAGGTCTGTGCTTACTTGTGGCTCTCCAAAGTGACGGACCAACAGGACACATGAGCAGACAGACATGTGCGAGGGGACTTTTTAAGGGGTGGGCTCACACGGTCTGGAGGTCACCACACGCCGTCTGCGGCTGGAGGACCAGGAGAGCTGGCGGTGTGGTCCAGTACCCAAGAGAATGGGCCCTCCCTCCCGCTTCGGGTCTCCTTGGGCCCTCAGTGAGCTGGATGCTGCTGGCTCTCACTGGGGAGGGCCATCTCCTAGATCAGTGTCCTGGCTCAGTGCTAGTCTCCTCGTGAAACGCCCTCACCCACAGCTAGAAGGAGTGCCCGGCCGGCTGCCTGGGCGCCCCTCAGCCCAGTTGAGCTGACGTGTGAAATTAAGCACCACAAGGGCTCGCACCTCTCTTCTCAGATTTATCCCTATTCCGTGTTTTCTTGTGACTATAAATGATGTTGTTTTTATAAATTTCATTTTCCAAATGTACATTGATAATATATGGAAATAAAGTTGATTTCTGTATATTTGCAGCCGACAACTTTGCTAAACTCACTTATTAGTTCTGGCAGCTTTTTTATACAGTCCATCCGACTTGCTACACAGACGTCATATCATGTGGCAACAAAGGCATTTTTCACTTCTTTTCCAATCTGTACACCTCTTTCTTTTTTTTCTTGTCTGATTATGCTGGCCAGAACTTTCAGTGCAGTGCTGAATAGAAGTGATGAGAAAGGATGGTGGGGGTTATGTTCCATAGATGTAATTAGCTCAAGGTTAGAATTCTATGAGAGACTCGGGAGCCACACCTACAAATAGCATCTGTATTACTGAGAAAAGCTAGATGGGAGAATGTGGTTCAGGTGTAGCAGCAATGAGCTTTCTAATGCTTTATTCTCAGAAATTGACAGAGTTATCACCCCGTTACACACACACACACACACAGGAACAGGCAGCAGGTGCATGGCAGCGGTGCCTTCTGGGGGAGCATTCCTGTAAACCTCTGGCTGGAGGAGCAGAGCCCAGCACAAGCCTCTGCAGCAATCAGATGCTAAGGGGACTCCCAGTGACTTCTCACCTCCCGGAGCCCATGTTTTCATGTAATTTCTTTCCACTGAGTCCAGTCAAAATCTGTGACTTGCTTCTAATCAATCGAATACGGATGTCACACTCTTGGTTAAGTTATGCTACACGGAAAAGATATCATTCCCATGGCTACATTTCCTTATCTTTAAAAAAAAAAAACTTATGTA